ATATGTCTCTTGGTGTCTTCTTCAAGTACCACGACTTCTTCGACTTCTGTGGCCTGTGTCTTGGTGGCCTGTGTCTTGGTGGCCTGTGTTCTCCTACAGGGTGGACCGGACGCACATGTGATGGCAGACTTCGGCCTCAGGCTTTTCTTCGATTACGTTCCCCATGGACTCTACGATGCTCCTGCTGATCTTGAATACATGTTATCTGTGGGTGGCTGCCCTTGCGCTTGTGCTGCCGCCAGCTTTCGCACATTGTTTGCGAATGTGCTCCAGAGTATGCTGCCGGCGACCACACTGGATGCCGGGGTCGCTGAATCGCACCTCTGAGAGGCCACTGAGTCAGAGCGAATCTAGAAATTCCAAACACAAGCTGCGGCTGCGGCGCGACTTTCACGCGCGTATAGGAAATTTAAAGACTGATTTTGTCTGGTGATTGACAACAGATTCGATCCAACGACCTTCTTGATTCCCAGGAAAAGACGCAGCCACAGAGATTTCCATTTTTTTGTCGCTCAGCACAGCCGGCAACACTGTTCTCACCGAACGGAAGTCTCCGGACCAGGACATGCACTCAGTGTGACGGATTGTCCTTTGGGTTCCACGTCACCTTTGGGCTCCTCAAGTCTCCTGCAGGGGAGCGCAGGACGACCAGCCCCAGAAGCAATGCGCATTTGACAAAAAGAACCAGCCCAAACTTTTACACAGAATTCCATTTTCCTGCAACTGTTTCAACAGAATAGCATGATTCCTGCAACCGTTTCAACAGATTACGATGAGTCCTGCAAATCTTTGGAACAAACACCAAAACATCACACCCTGAACACGTAGTCCAAAAAGTCATTGCACACGGGGCCATACAGATCCCTCTTTCTGGGCACTCGGTCCATGGCAAATGCTCGAAGCCGCGGCTTGAGGCTTTCACCTGTGTGCAGTTGCTGTGGTAAACGAGGGCACAGAGTGGAGACATGCAAGCTGCCAGGTGCCAAGGTCATTCAGGCTTTGCGCAAGAAGTGCTCCGAACAAGCGAAAGCTGCTAGCAGTTCCGTGAAGAAGAAAGATGACAGAAGCCATTCTCACAAGGATGGTCAGCACAGAAAAGTAGCAGCCAAAAGCTACGGATCCAACAAGGAGAGAAAGCAGAATGTGAGAAGAGTCCTCGGAAGCGTCATTTCTCCTTTGACGTTGACAAAGACAGAAGCTTGCTCGTGGCTGTTGAAACAGGGGTTCGTTTCCAGCAGCTCGGTTTGCCGACACTGCGGCCAGAAGTTGTTGAAGGGTCCTTACTGTCTTTCTCGTAAAGACCGCAGGGATCACTTCTATTGGAGGTGTGCGAGGAATGCGTGCAACATGCGAGACGCATTTTTGCAGAGGTCTTATTTTGCAGGCCTACAGTGTGAGCCAGATACGTTGGTCCAGATGTTGGTGCGCTACGCAAACATGTCCCATACCAAAGCTGTGGTGGCCACAGACCTGGTGCATGCACACGGCGTGTCTTACAACTCGGCGGACAACTTCTTGCGTGTTCTGTCGGAGCGTGAAGCTGCAGCAGGCAAGAAGGCAATGTCGTTGATCCGGCTCCGCCAGGAGATCGAGTGTGATGCCACATCACTCGGCCGCTTCTTTGTGAAGCCTGACAACATCTTCTACGCGGACCAGATCCAAGATTTGCAGCAGAAAAAACGGGCCTGTTTGAAGTCTTACCCAGTCCATGTGCGTGTCGTCGGCGCCATCCAGCGGGGTGGCTTGATGGTGGTGAAGTTCATGACGCCGAAGGTTACTCTTCCCAAGGCTCGGCCGCCTGTCGAATCGATTCGGGAGATTGACAGGTCAGGCCTTGCAAAGTACATTGGAGCAGACAAGAACACAGCAATCTACTCAGATGGTGCTCCGAGCTGGCGAACCTTTGCCATGTGGCTCAGGTGTCACACCAGCAACGACAATACGCAGTGCAGCTTCGACGTGCTCCTCGGCCCAAGCTGAGTAAAGTCGGAGGCACGCAGTGCATCGATGCTGCTTGGGGAAGCCTGAAGCGCTTCATGCCGAAGCAGGTAAAAAGAAAGGAAAAATGAAAGGCGTCAGTTGCATGAATGCAACGTTGGAACGCCGTGTGTACCAATGGCTCTGGCGCAAAAACCTCAGAGCTGATGGAGATGTCACGGGACCAGAGTTCCTGTTGCACTTGTCGAAGGCTTGCCGCTGGAAGTGAAAAGCAGCGTATGGCGGTTTTCCCGCTGAGCACTTTGATGAAAGAATTGACCAATTGGGACCTTTTGAAAACCGACAGAGCAGACTATGGCTTTTTTAAGAGAGAATGTCACAGCTTTCATGCCATGTTGCTACAAAGAGAATTTACACCAAGACTGAGTCCAATCATTTCGTGGAAGGGAGTCCTTCTCTCTGAGCATTGTGTCTCATGCTTAAGATGATTGATCCCAATTTATCCTGATTGCTGATGGAAACAAACTCTTATTACTCAGGTACTTGAAATAACAAAAAAATAATGTCCAAATTGACGACCCCATTTTTCTCAATTTTCTTGAAATGGTCCTCCTCAGGGGGTTTCAGGAGAGATGTAACACGCCACCCACAGGCGCCAGAAGGCGTCGTCACCTAAAAAGTAGTGTAAAGAGATCATCTCTGTTGAGCCTGCGTGAGCACAAAAAAATGTATCTTGCACCTGTCAGCAAGTCATGCAGCTTCAAAAACTCATTCACCTGCATGTGTTTGCGTCGCAGTGCAAGGCTTGAAAAATTTCACTTGCAAGGACATTGAAAAAGCAAAAAATATCCCAGGACATCATAAAAATCCAAAATTTCAATTTTCCAAAATTCCAATTTTCCAAAAAGCCAAAAAAAAAACCAACAAAACAATTGTGCCAGGACTTTGCCTCACCCCCTCTTCCCCCCATGGTCTGTGCAGAATTGATTTTTTGTTTTTGTTTTGGTTTCTTTGGTTTTTTTGGAAAATTGGAATTTTGGAAAATTGGAATTTTGGAAATTGCCTTTGGGGGAGGGGGGGTTGAGGCAGAATAGGATTCTGTCAGTGGCACAAAAATCAATAGAAACACTATACAAATATAGAAACAAAATACAAACAAAATGAAACAATGCAAAAACGCGCCGCTCAGAGCGCTCCTTTCTGTTCGCAAAATAGATAGATTTAGGTTGAGTTTGCTGTTCGAACACTTGCGAGAGCCAAGCTTCAAGATTTGATTTGATGAAGCTAACCGCATGAAATATATATATATATATTAATACAAATACATATATATATATATATCTACTCCATTCTACTCCCGCAAATAGACCGTGTTTGTTGTTTTTGGGCCTTAGCCATGTTTGGAGCCATCCAAGTCAAACAACTGGGACTTGCTCACATCGGTGCAGGTTGCAGAATGCTGAGAGTTCCTGGCTGCTCACTTCCCCGATACTTTGATTCTGGAAGCTGTGAAAGCTTCTCCACACTACTCCGTGTCCGTGGACGAAAAGGACCGCTTCCTGATTCTCGTCCTGACCTTTTTTGATGTCAAGCAAAGCGAGGGAACCACAACGCCAGTGGCATACAAAGAGCTTGCCGGCTTTGAGGTTCAAAGGAGGCCGGCCCACAGGCTTGGATTCAAGGGTTCTGGGTTGAATGAAATAGGAAGATCTTAAATTGAATGAAGTGGGAGGATCTTAATTTCAACATCTACGTCACAACTTGCCAAGAAACTATGTAATCAAAACTGGCCACTTGCCACTGCAGCCACGTTATTGTTCGAAAACTTGTAGTTGCACAAAATTGATCAAATGTGCCTCTCTAAAACTCATTTGGCTCCACTTGGTAAGAACCATTAAGAACCATGGCCAAGTCTCTTATCTTCTGTAAGGTGCTGCTTACAAATCTCATCGCGCCAGATATAGCACTGCTTGCTGCGTCCTTAGAGGTTCTCTTTGCACAGGTGTTCTAACCCCAAACACTCAGGAACCAACAAAGCAAGTCCAAGTGTTCAAAAGGAACCCAACTGCTGGGAAGTTTCTTTGAGCTTCTGCGCAAAAGTCTTCGCAGCAGCCTCTTTTACCTCCCTGGCCGCTTGCTCAGCCATCCTCCCAAGTTGCTCTTCGGCCACATCCTCAAGTTCCTTCTGACCCAGCTCAGCCTTGGATCTTTCGAGATGACTTCACTGGACATTCTCGGGCCGGAACGAAGTGATGATTCAATGGGCGACTTTGAGGATGTTGAACATATACAGTGCGCACACATAAATTATATATATATATACCCGCCCCTGCAAAACACACGATGCAATAAGCAACCTACTTCGGTAGCAAATGAACAAGTTGTTGGTTTGTTAGTAATAGGATCGATATGTTAGCAAATGAGCAAATGAAATTCTATACAAATATACAATTACAACAAAGGCCATATATATATAAACTACACCTGACGTCTTTTGATGCGCTCCGCAGTTTAGTCAATAAAAGAAATCAGTCGGTGATCCAAGTTTCTTCCCAAACTTGGTCTGAGTCTCACTCTGACCTGAGGCTCAGTAAAGTAGCTGGTCCGCCCAACCGAACCAGTTACCTACTCCTCACGCCTCCTAACACCTCCTGCCTAGCCGAGAGCCTTAGGCCGATGTCTTTCTTTGGGTCTAAAAAAACCAAAAAAAACTCTCAACTGCCCTTATTCCGCATCACCCTTTTGCTTGCGCTTGCTCGCGCTCAAGTGCTGCGGCCGAATGCCTGAGTGAAACGCCTGGGTAAAAGGTCTCAACTTCTGCTTGGGGAGATGAAGTTCAGCCAGGACTGCTAAGCCTTCGTTTATAGAAACCCGGGCTGTTTTCACAGCCCGCCATCTAGCGGCAATCATGAGTTTGTCGGGGTTTCCAT